ACATGTCACTTTGAATCAATGTTATGTTACTGTCAGAAGTAAATTAATAAAGAAAAAAGTAGAAATATCAAAATGATGAAGAACAGTATATTACTTCTACTTCATAAAAATCACAATTGTTCTCATTTAAACAAATCAAACTGCTAGATGCCGAACAGAACATATCGCTAACGGCTTACTGCCGTTAGGAACAGAGCTAAGTAGCTAGCCAAACACTCTTCGCACATCACATTAAAGCAAAATAACTAATACGCGACGCAAAACAAACTAAATACATACAAACTTGCACACACAGGGCTAGCATTCATCCATATCATTCTCCAAAGATTAATCTAATTTCTTACCTTACAAAAGGGACAATTACAAGAGAAGAAATGAGCAGAGACGAAACCAGTGCGCCTTCACTTACTCTTGTACTGAATGCAAATAGCGCACGAGTCCCCTACTGGACTCTTTTCACTATGGCGCCAACGCGCCCCTCTTTCAGACAAAGGACTTAACTATATTTCTTGCACACACCAAATCAAACTAAATTAGAATAATCAAACAATTGGATCTGATACTAACATGGTAAAATGAATATCATACCCTGCAACACAGAAAGCTAAATTTGAGTAACCTCACATAGGCCTGTTTACTACCAGTCACATATTCTTAAGAAATACACATACAAATGAGGAACATTTACTGAAATGTATCACACTAGCAAGTGTTACAGAAAAAAGTCTGAGAGTTTAACTCTTATAGATTCAGTTTTTTTTTTTTTGAATGGATGAAGGAAATCACAAACATGTAGTAAGCACTGACTAGTAGACGCCCCCCTTTCCCCTCGACCCCCTCATGACTGCCCCCTACACGCACAGACACACAAATGGTGTGGTGAGTAGGGGAGGGCCACCTGCAAACAGAATGTTTATTGCTGAACCCAGGGGCTCTGTTGCATCTCCTGAGACATATAGTTAAAGTCAATATAGTATATTCTATTTACATATACTATATTGTACATTATGTAATATTCTGGTTAGTGATTATCTATCACTTATTGTTTTCAAACTTTAATTGTATTCTTCTCAAAACTCATGAAGGTCAGAAGGAGTTTACCAAAACCAAGTGTCACAAAGGGGGGACCAACAGAGGTCAAAGGATTGTTTATTTTAGGGGGGGGACATCTGGTCACCGGGAATTAAAAAGCAGTCATTTATTAGGATCATAAATCAGTCCAACAATTAAATTTGGTCATAAGGGTGTTTATATGTTTCTCTGAGGAGACCTGTTTGGAAATCTGTACGGGGGGTGTGCTGGTTTTTCTAGCACTGTAAAAAAAAAAAAAAAGCACCAGAACCATCTATAGTGTAAATCCTGCAGTTGAACGGATTTACACTATAGATGGTTCTG